TTAGCCAGTGCCAAGGACGAGATACTGGCCTCAGAAGGGTCCTTGGTGTGATCTGGTGCAGTTGTCTTTATCTGTAGAAATGAGCCTCTTCCCAAATTCATAAAGCAAACCTCCCTGTGCTCTAGGGAGCCACTCCTTTTTATCCCATAGAAACAAAGACTTTTAGAAAGTCTTGAAGTTCTGAGTTTCCTTATTGCCCAAGGACAGGGCACCATTAAATAGGCCAGTGGCCCTGCTTCTGCAGCCCAGTACATTGCACAGACCGCTCCAAAGGAGGTAGTAAAGGCTCCTTTTTGAAGGGAAAGAAATGGTACTGCAAAACATTTGCTTACTGCCAGGAAGGAGCTATATAATTACTCAGATATTAGGGTCTCCTACCTAGGGTACAAGCCCAGTCCTGACTGCCTTTCACTTCTTGCCCTATGGCCTTTCCTCTGCTTCTGTCTTGGCTTTTTGCTGAAGCCACTGTCCTAGTTGTGCTTTGTGCTGACCATTGGATATGAGATCATCTCTCCTGTGCCGTAAAGAAATCTTGCAGCAATGCACTTGTGGGTAGCAAACACCTGTTACATGAAAAATTGTCTGCAAGTGATTGTATGTTGCTGTGGTCATGCTACTGAGCTGGGAAATCTCTTCTAGACTTATGGTCCGATGTCTTTGATGGCTCTGGCGCTCTTTTGTCTCTTGTCCCTTTTCATCTACACATACAGTATTTTCTCTGCCCCCTGAAAGCCTGACATTCTTAACATGAAAAATGGAAAGCATTAGTACCAACAGGCTTTCTCTTCCCATCATTCTTAAAACTGCCACTGTGCCTCTTATAGGAAGTGCATTTTTTCTCCTCAAAATCCAAAGGTCCCTGTTAAATCCAAAATGTTGTTTCATATGTATTTAATAGGGCCGTCAGAACATGCATGCATCCTCCTCACTGTACACCTTGTCCTGTTTTATTCCCTGTATGACGTTATGTAGTTGTCTCTTGCCTTGTGACTGCACTGTAAGCTGTCTGGGGCAAAGAAGTTGTCATGTCAATAGCACTGGAAAGTGGCTATCACACCTTTAGGTGTTATGAACTTATTAAATAAAAAACACAATGTAAAATATTCTCGCCTGTTGATCTAGTTCCAAGCATAGTATTTGTTTTTATGCATAGATTTGCAGTTTAGTCTCCATGTAGATACTCCGTAACCTTCTAACTCCAGCTTGCTGTTCTGACTGTAACTCTGTAGAGATGGGGAGTGGTGGAGTTGTTATTTTTCAAGCCCTTTAAGCTCATGAATTTTTAAGTGGCTTAAAACATAAGAAAAATGGTTCCAGGCATGGATGCCGTGAGAAAGGAAATGCAAATATCTGCATATATTCTGTTTCTTATATTGGTCTGCCTATGCTTTTCTTTCCTCATAGTCAAGGCCGTCATCGTTTTATTTCTGCTCTGAACCATACACTCACTGAAACTCTGCTAACAGATTAGCTTGCCTTCATTAGCCTTGAGAGCCTTTTGCTGTTTAAATCAAAGTAAGTAATACTGCACTTTTCTGGTCGTTTAAATGACGAAACTGCAGCTTGTTCTCTTTGTCAATAGAGTCTGAAAATGGAGCAGGACTGGCAACTCTCTCATTATTCTTTATATAGCTTCATTCTTCTTTGAGAGTCCAAATCAACTGGGAAGACTGCTGACTGGTGATGCAAGTTAGACCGTTCCATAGGGTAAGCAGGATTTAGGTTTCAAGGGAGGCCAGTGTCCAGGTTCTTGGTTTGGGGTGGGGGGATCTGAGTGTTCTGTGTGTGTGCAGCGATAGCTGCACTTACCACTTAATGTTCATGCTCAGGCAAACAGAATGGCAGCCTCAGCCCTGAGCTACATAAAATTGTTAGATGTTTTCTAAGCATTGATGCTATTTCGACTTTTTTTTTTTAAGATAGGAACTTATTTTTACCCTATTCCTTTATTTTATTCATAAACTCCATAAAATATTTGG